CTACTACTACTACTACTACCACTAGCCAAAGACTGCTTTTGTGTGTGCAAGCCAGGCTGGCTGGCCGATCCTTCCCTTGGACAGGCGCGCTCGCGAGCGCGCAAGCCGGGTGACAGAAGTTCTTGGTCTCTCGGTCGCTTCTGATCCCTCTTGGCTCCGCTGCGCTTGCGAGGCGGTGTCCTGCGGCTGGCGAACACTGCGAGCCGTGGGAACGGTAGCCGAGTCGAGGAGAAGGCGTTCTTGCTGAGCCATCTGAGCCATATGAGCCAAGTGTACGTTTGGGATCGTTCTTCTGAATGCAGAAAGAGCAATGCTACGCCGCAGGAGGACCTGAAGCAGGTCTGGGCACATCTTTTGCCCCGATCGCCGTGGCCCCGCCACGGCGAATCTGTCAAAATGGCATTCGGGAGCAGTTGCCGCCTGGTGACTGAGGATCAACCTGACAGACCTTGGGAAACAAGTTTCGCGACTGGAACGCCCAGCGTATTCTTGCAGCGCCTCGCATGATTGACACGGCTTTCTTTCGTTGCGGCTTGATTCTCTTGTACATGTTCCCACGAGTGTTTTTCTCCCTCTCCCTCCCCTCTCCCTCCCAAGAACTACTCAGCTCAGCCTTGCGATCGGCATCCCAAGGACTCTGGCACATGGCTGGTCCAAAGGCAAGCCCGCTGGCGCAGGCACAAGTGGAGAAGGGTGCCAGTAAGATGTCCAAAACAGGGCGAAGTGTCTGCGAGTCCTGCCAAGAATGCCTTCGAGGTATTGATCTGCAACAGTGACACTGCAGGTAATGTGGTGGCATCTCGTTCAAAACTTCAGAGCTTGTATGTGTACCGTCTGTTTACACATGTGCTTTGCCTGGAAGTGAGGTCTTACCAAGTGGATGTCTCGTTCTCTGGGATACCAAAAAGGACCTGCGGTGCCTTGTCGCAGACTGCCATCTCTCAGTCAGCAACCGGTACCAAGGGGCACTGCATTCTGTGTCGAAAGCTAGCACAATAGGGGCAGATTGAAGTGCTCAATGTGCTGCGCAGTTGATTATGTGCAGGGACCGGATGCTCCAGCTCGCTGCTTCTTGTCCAGCAAATCGCCCTGGTCCCACCACGATGGGTTGGTGACCGAGTGCCGCTGAGGGGGTGTCAGGGCTTCGAGATTGCCGAAGTTTCGACCGACCTAAACTGCTTACCTTTCCAAGGTGTTGTGCAGAAAGTGCTGGAAGGTGACTTTCTACCAGCAGAGGCTGGGAACGGCTAGCCCGCATGGAGCCTGCTAGGTTAAGCAGTGTGCTCTCACTGTTGCTTGGTACGAATGGTTGCAGAGTTTTGCGATTCCATCGACCGAGAGCAGCGAGCCCCTCGCCTCCGAGAGCTTGGACTTCGTCTATGAAGCCGTGGGCGAACTAGCAGCATTTCAGAGTTTGGCTAGGTTGGGTCGTGTGCTTTGTTGGATTTACGGCATCATTGGACGGCCCCACTCAAAGTCAGCATCTTATTGCTTCCCGCCCAAGACACTTTGAGGCAGTTGTCCTGCAGGAAAGGAGACCCGCCTGGACAAGAACACCGGGCAGCTACACGTTGCACAAGTTGCAACGGATCCCTCTGGAGAAAAAGGTGCTCTGCAGCAGGCCAAACACATGCATGGTCATGGTCGCTAAGAGCCAGTTTTATGCACTTAGGCCGTGGGCTGCAAGTCAGGCTCGCCAGTGTTCGAGTTTGCCGAGAGGCACAGCTGGAGCAAATCGCCATCTCTTTGGGCCTGGACATCGCAGTGCGACGCCTTCCTGCACAGTGGTGGTGGGCCTGTCATCCTTAGTCATGTCGTATCGGCTGGCCAGCATCGATCTTGCATAAATTAGGACTGGATCAGCTGGAAGCAAAGATCGAGGAGCAAACTGTGAAGGGCTGGCAGGCTCGTGGGCGAGCATCCATATGCGGGTGCAAGTGCAAAAATCAAGCTTTGCCAGGCCCTGGAGAAAGAAGTGGCCAGTGTCGAAGAACGATTTGCAATGTCAGTGATGCTTGCCCTTAGGGAGCAGATCACGTGAATGCCGCCAGAAGGAAGAAACGATCGACTGTGCGTGCATGGCCTGCCATGCTCAGGACTCTGAAGGACATCTCTAACCGGGTTTTCAGGCAACGTGGCAGCTTTAGCCATGATGTTACACAGCTTGAATGCAACGGGTCGGGACAGAGCATGCGGTCTCCAGTTACTCCAGTTGGTGTCAGGTACGAGCGTATGATCCACGAAATGAGGTACGAGTTGAATGCTGCAGGAAGATTCCTTGATTCACCTGTGCCTGTGCTGCTTTGGTTCACCATTTTCACGTTGTCCGCCCGTCGTTACGCCAAGGATCTGTTGTGGGAAAATCCTAACGAAGAGCGTCTCCATGACCAGGTGGGAAGATCACCAAAGTAGCATTGCTGTTCACACCTGGTGCTCCAGTGATGATAGTGTGCTGCACTTATTCTTTCGAAATTGGCAAAACATGTGAAGTGTGTGGCCGAGGTCGTTAGGCATTTTGATGTGAAGCGGCGCACAGACCTTCTGAACGATCCTCGGCAAGCAATATCCAGCACAGCGCTGAATACACGAACGACAGTTTGTGTTGGTTAGTCGGGCCGGCTTGATGTCTGGAGGAGCATTTGAGCTACTCCCTGGCTTTCGCGCACACCGTGGGTGAACACGTGAGGCAGTTGCTAAAACAGCAACGGTCGGTTGTCTTGCGGTCGGGAGTCTGCAATAGCATACTAGATCTTTGGCATTTATTGCTTCTCTCCACGCCCAGGCATTTGTATTCTGTGCGTCTCGAGAGGACCGGGCAAAAGAGATAGTATGCAGATGACGGTCGCTGGGGTTAGTTCGAGGCATTCTGCAGTATTCTGCAGGATGATAATCATCTTGATCACTTTGGAGTTGGGGGCTGCGGCCTCTGCATTTGTTTGCGCAAGCTGTGACACGTGGCGAGTGCTGCTCCCGAGGTAGGTGTCATGGGCCTCCTCACAGGAAGTTCACCGCATTCTGCTGTTGCAGGCTGAGTCTTCCTGCTTTTGTATGTTTTACTCCATCAGCTGTTGTGTCCTCGAACATGAGTCCTTCGAGTGAGTGAAGTGAACCTAGATCACTTCTAAGTACTTCGTTGCCCACGTAGTCAGACTTTGAATAGTCAATAGTCCACTCTCCGACACCCTCTGTCTTGAGTGTGGGATCTAGGTCTCTCGCTGAACTTGTGCTTCGTGCATGCGTCTCAGGTCGGCCTGCCCATCAGCCTTCCAGCTCCGGCATCTGAGGCCAAGTAAGCTCGGCAAAGTCCGAGCCGGCACAGTGCCTGGGTGGTAGAAAAAATATCCACTCTGTGCCGTTCGTCTGCTTTGTGTCCTAACGGATGTAGCCCACGTCAACCCGCAGGCTATGCATGCTTGTAAGGGTACGACAGGCAGGACGCTGAGGTGGGATGAACTCTGTGCGTGGGGGTCAGTCGAGCAAGTGACTCTAGAAGGGTCCGAGGTGATGAGACTCGTTGGTCATTGGTGTGTAACGGTCTAGCATTTGCACGTGTTGGTTTTCATGGCCAAGGCACGTGAGTTCGGGTTCAACTCGTCAACGGAAGATGCCAAGTCAGTTCCAAAAGTTGCCCATGATTGTTGAAGCCTTAGGGCTCCTGCCAAGAAAAAGAGTAAAGCATACAGAACTCGCAGAACCCATGTGGCAAATCATCATCCCGGGGAAACGTCTCTCGGCACTGCAGAGCAAAAGGATGTTTGTCCGGAAGATGCGAGGTTCAGACTTGGCAGGGAAGCCTATAGTCACAAGATGATTTCAATGAGAGGAACCAGACTTCAGCCCTGAGCCTCCGCAAGCAAGTCCCTGCTTCTGTAAACTTGCGGGCGCTATGGCCATGGACTTTTTACCGCTTCTTCCTCTAGGCCCACATTTAGGGTTGTGGCTGCCTTCGCCTTTCGTGCCTTCTCTGCTTTTGCAGGTGCAAGCAGCAGCTCCTCGGTACAGGCGAAGACTCACAGAGGCTGAGTGATTGGTCGCCCCCCTTCTTGCCATGCCCAGGCGGGCCGCTCTGGTCAGGATGCGGCCGGAGCAAGCGCTGCACCCCAGGATGAGGAGAGGGATGAACACAAGCATAGCCCCTGCGTTTTCTCGAGCTTTTCTCGAGGACTCCACGATTGACGATCTGATGCGACTTATCGAAGACGGTCCTGGAGTTGGCCCTTGCAGGCGCTCTAGAGTCTAGAGTGACCCCATGTAGCTCCGATCATTGTTTGTGTCAGGGACCAAGACGTGGACGAGCTACTAAAATCTTTGCAGCCCAAAGAAGGCCAGTCTCCAGGAGTGTGGTGAGTCACACCGCGCGCATGGGTAGCATGCAAGCTTTGCTTCTGTGATAGCTGATCGCGGTGTGGCCGCTTCGGCTCAGCGTAGTGACAACGTAGTCGTGTAGGGCGCAAGAGGCCGATAACACATGAGCTGGACAAACTCCTCGTCGCCTCGACTGATCATCAGACGACCTTCTGGGTTATGCAAGTCACGAGCATGTGCAGTCCCTCGCAGTGCCCATAGTGGCTTTACCTCCCCCAGAGCAGTACATCTCTGCAAGCATTGGCATTTGTTGTTGGCTCGGACATGCCGCTGCCGAGTGTGCTCGGTAATTGCCTGGAGACCTGTCTGAAGGATTTACTGGGCAGGTAAAGCCGATCTCCTCTAGATGCTGGCAACTTGGGCAACAATCATCCGTGAAGAACTGGCTAGTTTCCTTGCCTAGGATGCCGTCAGCAACAGATTGGAGGAGCTTTCGCGACATGACAGCAACTGCTGATTCGCAATCTAAACAATCGTACCTCCTTCTGTGGAGTTTGTGCGAGTCGGATGAAGTTGCTTTTGGAGGTACCATTGCAAGCAGCTGCATGCGCTGAACCAGTCCCTGGAAATTGAGAATGCTTCTATGTGGCTCAGCTGTGCTGGAGACAAACAAGAATCTGCTTTTCGTGGGGGGCTGCTTGGACGTTCGCTTTGCCAGGCGTTTGAAACTGTCCGATATCGAGCAGACACTCCCTCAGCGGCAGGATTTCGAGGCTGCAGTGGAAGAGTCAAGACAAAGAGAGCAATAGCCAGGGAGAGAAGCAGAATGCAGGAAGGAGGGAGCAAGCTGTCAGGTTGCCTAGCTTCAACATGCCGGCGCCATGGGGAGACAACGATGCATTGCTACAAGCCCGGAACGTCTGCTACACCCGGAAAGCCCGCGAAACCCGATAAACCCATAAAACACTGACAACCAGACAGACTCGATACACACAAAAAAACACCTAGTGCTCAGAAAGCCTGCCTCATCACAATCCAGCGCCCGAAGAGTCTATGCTTTTACATCCGGCGTGCCTCCATTAACCATACGCCCCATCAATCCAACGATTAAAAAGTCCTTTTCGTAAGCAGCGCAATCGGCGCATTTCGCGCACAACCTGCGTATTTCCACTGCAAGCGGCGCCTTCGCAGTGCATTGCCAGATGTGGTCACTGTGCCCGCATGCACTGTGCAAGCACAGCGTACGCAGAAGGAACGAGACGGATGATTTTACTTCGCCTGAAAACAGCTGCTGTCCTCGCAGGGTCAAGAGGTGAACGCAGTCGCAACACCCGAAGTTGCCGAGGCCAGATCTCAGGTACTGCGCACTCTGCTTGAAACTGTTTCGGGAGTTTTCTCTCGAGGTGGCCAAGCCCAAAGCTCCAAAAGATGTCTTTTTGCGGCCTGAAAGCTTCTTGGTGCGAATATCACAGATCAGCAAGTTCAATCAGGAATCTCGAATCCGTCTGCTGCCTTCGGATCTTGGCTTGTACAGTCCCTGCGCATCCTGAAGCTCAGGCGATGATGAGTTGCCGCTGCCGATGCCTCGGAGCTTTGAGATCCTGGAAGTTTTCCAGTGCGTGAGCATGGTAAGATGCCTCGTGTGGCTCAGATATAAGTGCAAATGCCCGGGAGAGTAGAGTCACTCAGTGATTTGATTAGTCTTTACATCCTGAGTCTGACGGCTTTTTTTCCTTGACCATGGCGCCTTCAATCAGAGAGGCCCCGTCGCGTATTCCTGATGGCATCCCATGGCTACTGATCTGAGCTGCTTAACGAGCTCAGTTCAGCAGTGGAAGCGGGTGCTGGAAGAGAAGTCGAGCTCTCCGGCAGAGCTCAGTCGCGCACTGGACGAGCTTCGCAAGTACGGATCACTGCCCACCCAGGTCCTGCAAGAGACCAAAATCGGAGTTGCTGTGAATCATTTGGGCAAGGATGTCGGAATGAATGAAGAGGTCCGCAAGGCAGCGAAGGCCTTGCTCGCGGACTGGAAGGAGATGCATCGCAAGCGCCCCAGGGATCCTCTTCCAGCGGAGACGGCTCTGAAACAGGCGAAGAGGGGGCCTGAGACGCCTGAAGCGGTCAATCCGGCTTGTGCAGCAAAGCCCGGGCAAAGGCAGAAGGTGCTGCAGATGCTCGAGGCAGCTCTGTCCGGACAGAAGACTCCGGCCACTCATGCCCTGGCAGTGGCAATCGAAGAGGAGCTGCATGCGCAGCTCGAAGGCTCGGACAAAGCCTACATCAATCAGTCACGGGCCATCGTCTTCAACCTCAAGGATCCAGTTCTTTGGACTGCCTTTTTTCGGGTTTCTCTCGTTCTGGTTGAGGTCGTGTAAGGGAGGAACCCGCAGGCGGCTATATCGGTCTGCAGTTCTTGGAGTTCGGAGGTAGTTGTGCTGGTTTTCGCTTTGCGCATGTTTTTGCTGCACAATTCTGAACGACAGCAACTGAGCTTCCCCTGGTCCGGGCCCACACATTACATCGAAGTCATAGTATGTTGTTCAGTTCAGAGGTCTGTGCGTGTTAACGGCAAGCCACCGCAGCACTTGGGCCGTACGTCGGCCTTTCGGAGGTAGGCCTTTGATCCTCCCGGCCCTTCCCCCACCATTGCTGGGGACACTTCCGCCCACTATCGGATGTTTCGGTGTCGGGCATGGTCTTCCGCGATGCGTCGCCGCCTTCGTCGAGCGTCACCTTCGTGGCTACTTGCGGTGTGCCTTCCCCAACCGTTGACGCTTTCATCAACAACATGGTAGAAAGGCGGCACTGACACATGCCCGGCTCGAGTTCAAGTGGCTCTCGTCGCCATGGCGGTGGCGGCGGATGGCTTATTCGCTCGTCGTTCTGGCCGCTTCCTTGCCGAGGGGCTTGTTTCAGTGCCGCATCTAAACCACGAGCAATTCGATTAGATTAGTGTCCAGTTCTGGTCCATGTTGTAAAGAAACCTTAGTCCAGACACAGGCTTTCCTGGATACAACAGATGCCACTCTCAAACACGAAATCATGAGGCCCTGATGTACCTTACACGGTGCGATTTCGAAGGATGCGGCCAACGACTCGTTCCGGCAGAGACTGTTGGGCGGAAGCCTAGATCCACGCACACTCCCGCACATGAACACGCAAGAGATGGCCAGTGACTCCAAGGCCGCGCTGCGAGCGGAGATGCGCCAGCAATCTTTGCAGGAATCCGCAGTGAAGGTGCCAGAGGAGAGAGTGACGGATGCATACACCTGCGAGCGCTGCGGGGGAAAGAGGTGCACCTATGTCATGGTCACGCCAACTTCTTGCGTGAATGGGGAGCACAGTTGGACCTCGGTGACATGTCTCTCGTGTGACCATCGCTGGAAAGCCTAACGTTATTGCGGCTGTTCGTGTTTCAGCATGGTCGTGACAGAGCTGATCATCATCGCCCTAGGCAGACGAACCCTTGGCTGTTTGTGGACAGATCCCGGATACATCCAGATGCTGTGAGTCCAGCCAAAGGTTCGCCGGACCACAAGACAAGCATGACAGCTGTGCCCACAACCGCAGCCAGAATCGAAAATAGCTGCCTGTCCCAGATGACTGCGCTGTTACAGCAACAAAGTGTGTTGCATGCAGAGTCGTGTTGTGCTGACTGTGATGTGTCCAAGGCCAGGTGTGCTTCCGATACCAGTGGAGCCTTCGTCCCCGCACCCGTGGCTTCCTGAAGGCTCCTAGCCGTGCCTGTAACGGCAAAATCCTCACTCTAAACGTACTTCCTGCCAGCGAGCTATCATGCAGGCAGTCCCGGCAGTGGCAGCAGCCTCCGTGCCATCGGCGTGGCACCCTCTCGTTGTACGTCCTTCCAGACGCTGCGGGACGTAGACGAGGACATCACTCGACAGAAGCGCAAATGCATTGTAGGTTGCACCTCGGGGTCCCAAAGTGTGAACATGATATGCTCAACATCGGGAGCGGTTTGTTCTGGGCAAGAGAAGGACGACCCAGAGGATATCAGCGACCCCGAGTACGTGGATGCGAAGAGCATGCGCTTCGACACTCTGGCCGGGGAGTGTATGAGCACAACTTCAGTGAATGTCTTGGTGTGACAGGTGTCACATCGTCTGCAGCTGGTCACCGACACCAGGCTAGCAGACGACACTTTCTTCCACAAGGGCGAATGGAAGCAGACGCTATCGCTCTGCGGCTCATTGGATGCCTGGCATGCACGGGTTCGCCAACGTGTGTTGCGCAGGGCAGTCTGAAAGCTTGTGAAGCCCGGCAGGTTCGTCAAGAGGCGAGCTGTCGTTCCAGGTGTCTGATTTCTTCTCCGACTTTCTCTCTCTCTCTCTCTCTCCGCCCTCCTCTCATCTCTACAGACTCGGGGGTCGGCGTGCCTCAAGCCGTGCAGCCCCGAGTTGGAAAGAGGTTCAGCAGAATGAAGCAGATAGCAGCTTTCGGTGATGAAGTTCTGTGAACAAAGCCTTCTTAATTCCGGTGTAGTCGCTCATCCCTCCCCTAACGCCGCTGACGTGATAGATCCTTGGAGCTGCTACTCAGGAGGATCACTATGACACGAGCAGGCCGTCAGAGGTCATCGTCAACAGCGTGATCTTCAAAACAGAGCCCTGCCGGCGAGAAAGGCGTTTTTTCAAAAGCCCTGCTTTTTTTGGCATGTCCCTGCCAGAACGGAATCACAAAGTTCAGCCTCAAGTCCCAAAGCTCCTCTTCAAGGCCAAATTGCCCCCGGACGCTCCCCTTGCTCAGGTGAGCACGCTTGCTATTGCCGCCAATGCCCTTTACATCGGCATCCGCACTGATCAGCAGCCCGTCTGCTCTGAAGTCGACAGTGTCGCTGCTACTGGGCGCTGGTGGTAATGGTCGTAACAGCCATAACCTCGGAGCATTTCAGCACATTGGCAGGCAGCTCAAGCACAGCTACAACCGAATCAACGGAGCAACGGCCGTCCAGATGTCAAACACATTTGCCTCTTGTTTGCACTGGCGACGGGTGACTTC